AAAAAAAAAAAGTGATAAATTTTAAGTTCTGTATATTTTGCCTCATTAATTCATTCATTTTTTACTGAGACCATAAAAGAACCATAAACTGAGAAATTCTGCGGACTAAGAAATTTAATGCCCACAGAGTACCTAGATGACTCCTGATGGTTAATATTCGTAAAGATAAAATTTTACCTTTTATTCCCAATCAGCATGATAACCATGTTGGAACTAGAGTGTTGGCGGGCATCCTCTAACCATGAGGTTAGGTGATTGAAGGTTTCACGCCTACAACAGAAAAAGTTCAGAAAGTGGGTCAGAAGCCCATTTCAAAAGGCCAAAGCAGGGTTACGGATGTAGCTCAGTAGTAGAGTGAGTTCTCTGCATGTGAAGGCCCTGGGTTTGATCCCCAGCACTGAAAAATCAAATGAATGAATTCCAAGCCCAAAGCAACTTCAAATATATAGGAAAAGGGAGAAAGTTATATTGTATATAGAAAAATWTTAAAGAGGTCATCTTTAGCAGAACATGTTGATAGAAAAGCATTGAAGAACCTAAGAATTTCCCTCCCACATACCAAAACTGGCTCACCTTGTAATGTCATACACCAGCAGTGCTCCAGCTGCTCCCCTGTAGTAGGAACGGGTGATAGAACGGAAGGATTCTTGCCCAGCCTTTCCCATCAACATGGCAACAACAAAAAAATCCCAATAAAACTAGGTTATTTCCAGAGAACTGACTTAATCACATACTAGCCCAAAACAAAGGACTTAACTAACAATGAATTTCTATTAGATTAAGAGAATTAGGAAAAGAAAACATGCCTGCCCAGGGAAAATCCAGGTAGAGTCAATATTCTGCAATAAGAATGCAATTGCTATTTTGGGTGGTTGGATTACTCTTCCTATGAAACTGTCCAACAAATTGCTTGATGTTTAACATCCCTAACCCTAGTCACTAAATGCCAGTAGCACTCCAGAATCATCATGACATAAAAGTCCTTTGCATATATTTCTCAATATACCCCAGAAGGGAACAATTGGAAATGGGAACGGAAACTCAGAGTATGTTGTATTTTCAATCCCAAATATGACTTCATATTAATCTTTCTGTTTCTACCCAYAAAGAGAAAAATTATCTTAGAATGCCAACACCCTGTGGAAGTTTCTTTCCAATGGATCAGTGTAGAAAATTAGATGTAAAACAATTAAATTGAGCATATGCTAAATGACCTTTAGTGATCCATGGATAATAGTAGGACAACCTACCTAAATGTTCCTTGCTGAAAATCCCAACATGGAAAATAGAAATAAGGAACAAGAAAAGATACCCAAAAGCTAGGATAAAATTTTCCTTTAAAAAAATCCAGCTTGTTCACATTTCTAATTGGGCCAAAATATTAAGTTTTATTTATAACCAAGCAATTAGTTAATTCCCCCACATGCTGCAAATATTTGCTTTCTTTTCATGACAAGTCTTTCTTTTTTTCTTAGGGAAAGGAAAAATGTGTGTCTTTTTTTTCTTTTCGGTACTGGAGATTGAACCCAGGGAGCTTTACTCCTGAGCCGCATCCCTGTCTTTTTTATTTTCAAGACAGGGTCTTGCTAAGTTGCTGAGAGTCTCACTAAGTTGCTGGGGCCGGCCTCAAAAAACTTTTTGAGATCTTCCTGCCTCAGCCTCCAGAGTCACAGAGATTATAGRTATGCACCATTGTGCCCAGTGAAGAAGTGTCTTTCAAATAATATTATGTATATCCTGTGCATTTAATCTATCCTATTAGGAAAGGTTTTATATTATTATTTTGGGGGGTTGGTTTGTTTTTCTTTGGTGCAGTATTGGGGATTTTACCATGGGCATTCTACCTTTGAACTACATTCCCAGCTCTTTCTATTTTTCATTTTGTGACAAAGTCTCACTAAGTTGCAGAGACTGGCCTTGAATTTTTGATCCTCCTGCCTCAGCCTCCTGAGCAGCTGGGATTACAGGCAAACACCACCCTACCTAGCTAGTTCTCACATTTTTGAGATTATTTATCTTCATATCCTTACACAAGGTTGGGAAGTTTGAAAGACAGGAAAACCATGATGAAGACAAAAATAAATAAATAAATAAATAAATTGCCTTCTGATTGTATAATATCAACAGTGACAATATTAACACTATAATAATATTTTAAACTATCTTTCGGCATACACTATGTGTCAGGAACCATAAGCTACAATTACATATATTATCTCACTTAATTCTTTTTAACAGTCCTGAAACAAATATTACTATTATAATTCCCCCTTTGAAAATGGGAAAAATAAAATTTAAAGAAGAAAATTCAACAACAGGCCAAAAATCATAAAGCAATGCTGGAGCTATAATTTAAATTTAAGATCTTAGTGCTTTTTCTAGCACAAAAGTTCTTTTTTTTCTTAGCCATTATATCATATAATCTAAATCAGGGTTTGAATGAGGGAAAAGAAACCAAGTGCATTAACCCTAAGGCTACTTTTGTAAACATACAAGAATCTCTCCATAAAAGAATCACATAAATATTTAGTGACTTTTATAATTGCTAGAACATCTGAATCCAAAAACAAAAAATAAATTCAAAAGTTCTCCTTCGGTAATACAATACTTTATAGTATTGTTTACTTTTGCCTCCAAGAGCTTACATAAAGTTTTATATTTATTCCCTAATAATCCCATGTCTTACATTATTTGGGTCCTGTTTTGCTTTAATCTCTTACTTTTTCTCCTCTTCTGTTATCATCGAAAGTCCTCTTCTACTTCCCACAAGTCCTACTAGGAACTAAAAGGCAAAGTGAGGGAAGCCCTCATGATGGTTCAATCACATGGTGGCATTTCACTTCACAACTGAAAATACTTCCAGTGGGTCATCAAAAAACCTTTAAAATCTAATCACTCTACTTACTTCTTCATCTCTGTCCAGTTCATGAACCAGTAAGCTAGAATGAGTAAATGATTCCACTTAGGCTAGTCTACATCAGTTTCAGGTATCCTTGTCCATCCCCAGTAAGAAATCTGAAGTAGCAAATAACTAAGACGGAGTTTTGTTAAAGAGAATGCATAACTTTCTATTTCTTCCACGTGGGAGCATTCTATTACACTTTTTTTTTTTTTTTTTTTTTTTTGCAGGAGGCAGGGACAGTACTGAGGATTGAACACTGGGACACTCTCCCACTGAGCCACATCCCCAACCCTTAAGTCAAGATCTCACTAAGTTGACAAGGATGGCATCAAACTTGTGATCCTCCAGCCTTGGCCTCCCAAATTGCTGGGATTACAGACATGTGCCATCATTCCCAGTTCCTGWATACGTCTAAAGCATATAGTTTGAAGTATCAAATTTTAGAAAGTTGGATACACTCTATTTCTAAGAATCAAAATGCATTCCAAAGCAAATACAAATTAATTTGAGATTAATCAATCGTTTCCATTAGCTATAGTACAATGCCTCTTCCTTAGCCTGTGTATTTGAGAATGACACACACATATAAGACACAGACACACATGTAAAAACAAAACAAAACAAAACAAAAACTAGTAAGYGTCTCTAAATTTTTATTAATACCAGAACAGTGACAACAAAAAACTCTGGATAACCTGGTATGTTTAAAATATGCAGCATGAGCAGGACATGGTGTCACACACTTATAATCCCAGCAATTTGAGAGGCTGACACAGGAGGATCTCAAATTTGAGGCCAACCTTGGCAACTTARTAAGATCCTGCCTCAAAATGAAAATTTCTATTTTGAAAAATATACATCATGGAGCTGAAGGTGAAGCTCAGTGGTTGAAAGAACACTGGGATATAAGATCCTGGGTTCAATTTGTAGCACCAAAAAATAAAACAAAATATCCATTTGATAATCTCTAAACTTTTTTTTTTTTTTTTATACTAAGGATTGAATCCAGGGTTGCTTTTACCACTAAGCTACATACACAATCCTTTTTATTTCTTATTGAGATAGGGTCTCACTAGATTGCTGAGGCTGGCCTCATATTTGCGATTSTCTTGTATGAGCCTGCAGAGTTGCTGGGATTACAAGCATACCCAGCTACATAAATGTTTTCATACAGGATAGCTTTAAAGTAAAGGGATGAGGGATCAAGAAAGTAGGAAGTCAAGGTGGGTAAGCGATGGGCAGGAGATCAGGGATGACAAGGAAGAAATGATCAGGCTTACCCAGAAAGTTGTAGATAAGACACTACATCATAAATATGAATCTTTTAGTTTTTTCAAACCAAATAGCTACAGTATTATGAAATCTGCTTTTTATGATTCAGCAAATATTAATCTCRGAACAATTTTTTAAAGAGAACAGAAATGAACTAGGCCCATTTAAATGGCCAGTATTTCTTAAGAATCCTGTCTACACAGTAGTGGCTCTTGTGATTCAATAATATCTCATATGAGCATTTAAGGAAGAAAGAAGTCAGCAGCCAATACATGAATGACCATGACCATACCACTAACTCACACCTACTGGATTTTTCTCCTGCCATCAAAACATCCATTTTTGGAAGTGGTAGAGGTTTAAGTTAAAGAGGTAGAATCTAACTTATATCAGTCTTGATACCCACAGGCTTCATTCTTTGCCACTTCTTCCGAAAWCTATGCTGTACTCTCTGTGGGGTCCAAATCTCCCTTTTCGGGAAATACAAAATCAGGGTTGCATTGCTTAATTAGGGTAGTGACAAAAAGTCACTAGACCTCAACAATGAAAGGGAATAAATACATAGCAACTGTTTAAAAAATATAGTTAACCTTGACAGCAGATACAGAGCAAGATTTCTTAGGCTTTAATGGTGGAAAAAGGATTGAAAACAAAAACTGGCTATTTAAATGAAACAAGGTTGGAAGTTATGGATGTCAGACAGGAGTTAATCACTATTAAAAATGTAAAGTGATTCATGTTCCTGTAGTTAGGGCAACTCAACAAAGTGAGATGGAAAATCTAATCAGATCTGGGAATGGTGGTACACACCTATAATCCTAGTGACTCAGGAGGCTGAGGCCGGTCTGGACAACATAGAAAGAAAGACCCTATCTCAAAATAAAGAATATAAAGGGTTAGCAATGTAGCTTAGTGGTAAAAGACCCCTGGTTAAATGCCTARTGCTGGGCGTGGGGGTGGGAAGTATTTGTAACTGTAAAAGGTGAAAAGTAAGCGTTCCCATCTCATTGATTTCTCTCTTCCCCTATTTCATCACCACCAATAGACCCACCCTCTTTACCCTTTTCCCTTGCATCAACTTTTATTGTTCTATTTGGATCTTAGTCGGGGATAAAATTATTTTGTCCTCTCTTACCGTATCCCAGATTTGCAGTTTGATTTGTTTTCCATCAATGTTGACCATGCGGGCCCCAAACTCCACACCTTCAGAAAAGACCAAGAGAAAAAATGTGATTCTTGGGAATAAAGGACATGTTGAGTGAGAGGTTAGAGCTTTTCCTCAATATTTTATGACTTAAGCTTCGTATTCAATGCCACTAAGCCCAAAACTGCTGTTATTTGCTCCAGTTAATTTTATTAATTTGTTTCCTTTTTTTAGAATTAAAAAATTATATTCTAGGTGATATGACCTGAGAATGTAACCAAAAAGTAGATAGGGGAATAAAGCTAAAAACTCAAATTAAAAAGGTGAATAAATTCTTTTTGGTACCAGGATTGAACCAAGTGCTATGCACCCCCAGCCTCTTTTTGTTCTTTTAATTGTGAGACAGTGTCTCACTAAGTTGCTGAGGCTGGCTTTGWACTGGCAATTCTCCTGCCTTAGCCTCCTCAGCTGCTGGGATTACAGGTGGGCACCACTATGCTTGGCAAAAAGGTGAATAAATTCTTAGCAATGTTTTAACACTTAAATTTGATGAGGTAACATTTTGTAATTTCTTTAAATACTTGTAAAATTTTTTTTAAAAATTCCCGACTTTCAGAGTATTCTCTAGTCTCTGCATGAAACATTTCTTTCTGTAACTCTAGAACTTTTTGTTTAAAACAAAAGAGCCCACCTAAAAAAATAGATACTCAAGAATGATACATTTCACATCACCAATAATTCCCAGAGTTCACTGGAAAATTGCACCCCTACAGCATGGAAACTGGAAATCTGAGTAAGTTTCTGGTTTACTTGGCATTATTCTTCTCTTAAGGTACTGTCAGGCCAAAATTTAAAAGATGGTCACTTATATTAAAAACAATAAATTAAATACTGGTGTGGTAGTGCACATCTGTAATCACAGTGACTCAGGAGGCTGAGGCAAGAGGATCACAAATTTGAAACCAGCCTGGGGAACTTAGTGAGACCCTGCCTCAAAATAAAAAATTAAAAAGGACTGTGTAGCCCAGTGATGAAACACTCCTGGGTTAAAACCTCAATACCAAAAAACAAAAACAATGAATTACAAGTCAGATCTTTATCCTATTATCTATTTCATATAGTACTTCACACATGAGAAATTCTAACTTTAAAGTAAGAATGATGACTGATCTAGCTTACCCTAAGGGCTGATATGCACCTATTAGTGATCCTATGCAGATAAGCACAATATACCTGAAATACCTCAACTTCAAGGTGCTGCACGTAGCAGAAAGGAATAAGAATTGCTTTTTACTACTCCAACTGCTTTATCAAGAATCACATGGGCCAGGTGTGGTGGTGCACACTTGGGAAGCTGAGGCCTGAAACAAGATAGTGAGACCCTGTCTCAAAATAAAAAACAAAGTTCCCCTGGGTTCACCACAGCACCAAAATTAATAAATAATCACACAGTAACCATTGAAAAAACTCACTAATTCTTTCTGGACAACAGGAATGGAATTTCAATGGGTAAAAATTAATATGTAGAACTTTTGTCTCTTTCATGCAGTTTCTTCTAGTTGTACACTAAGACATTTTGCAAATGTATTTTCTATCCATCTGCCTTGTATGTTATGGTACACAGAATTGAACTCAGAAACACAGGTTCTACTGGACTCTGGGATAAAGTTCATTGACCACTTCATTCCTTTRCTTTAAAACTTGTTAATAGGGTTATTTCCCCATTACCCACAAGTATTTAAAAACTTGGTACTGAATTTTGTTTCTCTAACTTGATTCTTTTTAATGATACCAGAGTTTGAACCCGGGGGACACTTAATCACTGAGCCACATCCCCTTTTATTTTGAGACAGGAGATCATTTAAGTTGCTTAGAGCTCTGCTAAATTGCTGAGCCTGCCTTCAACTTGCAATTCTTCTGCCTTAGCCTCCCTGAGGCAGGGATAATTGGCGGATGCCACCACACCTAGCTCCAATTGTATTCCTGGCTACTCTCCATTTGAAACTTCCAAGTTCCAGCCATATTAAATTATTTGTTTTCCAAAAGTGGCCTGCCTGATCTTTGCCATCCTGGTCTTTGCAAATGTTATTCCCTCTTGCTGTATTCATTTCCCCCTCATCACTACAACCCCTTTGCCTAGCTAACTCCTGCTCAGTAGTGATTTTCAGCATTTCCTGATAGAAATGGAAGCCTCTCTTTCCATTTGCAATACAAATTTGATAGTATCTGCCCCCAGCCCTACCTCCTACTCGAAGACTACAAATAATTGACAGGAAAGTACAATGTTACCTAGTTAAGCACTGTGTTTTTAGTCCCTACCACAGTGTCAGTATTCACTTAAATATTCATTAAACAAAATAGTTTCTGGTTGATGCTATCCTCTAAATCCTTTTTTAAACTCAACAATCATTTAGCTCTGAATAACTTCGTGAAGACCAATGGTAGCTTTAGGTTTCCATACTGGTAGGACTTGGAAGTAGAAACAGATCAACAATGGAGATCTTGGGGCTGGTAGCGGGCTTGCCTGGCATGCGGGCTTGCCTGGCATGCGTGCTGCCCGGGTTTGATCCTCAACACCACATACAAAGATGTTGTGTCCACCGAAAACTAAAAAATAAATATTAAAATTCTCTCTCTCTCTCTTTAAGAAAAAAAAAAAAAGAGTGGGGATCTTTAGATTTCATTTAAATTTTCATTTGCATGGCCAGAAGGCTAGTTTTACATATATTGTTTATTTGGGTTGGCTTTACCAATTAGAGCACCTCCAGGTTGCCTCATCACAAACGTGTGGGAGATGGTAATATTTTCCATGACCACCAGTATGTTTTCAGAACTCTATCAAAAATTTTTTAAAAGAGGAAAGCTATCACTTTCAGCTGTCTTTTCATTCTAAGGCTGGGATGGTTCTTCAATTTGCTTTTTCATCTCCAACATACAAAGGTCCATGTATTAGTGTTTTCTTTGAAAAATACATGAGGTTGGTATTTATTGCGTTTGAGTTTCTGATAAGGCAGTTATGTTTTCACGGGATTTCCTATAAACATAAAACTGTATTTGAAGGGAAAAATCCTACAACTAGTCCTTAAACCACGATTCATCTTTAAAATTACCTTTCAATTATTAACTCCACATTTATCAGCTTTTAATTAGTTACTCTTCATTTAACATAATTTCGGATTAGTTTAAAGTAGTGGGGGTAACTTTTTACTTCGAACATTTAAGGCTGCTAACCTATTTGAGCAGTTTGGCTTGTCTGATTTTATCTGTTCTGGAACAAGTAGATACACCTACCTATTGTGAGGTCGTGGACTGGCTGAAACCGCTTGTCTGTGAACTGCAGGAGGAGACATGACTTCCCCACACCTGAAAGAGGAGGACATAAATTCCAGCAAGCACGCGGCCCGAGAACTTTCCAGCTGCTAGACTCTGGGCGTCCAGGACTGAGGGAGGGGAGCCCGGAGCCCCGCCCCCGGCCGCCCGCCCCGCCCCCCGCCCCCCGCCCGCTGGTCTCGAAACGCCCAGCCCACTAAGTGAGCCCCGCCCCCGCAACCCGATTTGGGAGCTTCAGATCCCCGCCCCAGCCTTGATGGCGGTCCACCCGTGGGTTACCTGTGTCCCCGATGATGATGTACTTGAAGAGATAAGCATAAGTCATGGTCCCGATTCCGCAGTATTCCGGGTACGCCCGACTTCTACAGCCACTTACCTCCGACTTCTCTAGCCACTCAATCTACCGATCTCCTTATTTTTCCCCTCCCCGGCCTCTCTAGCCCGGACCACGTCTCTATTGCTCTCCCCAGAAATCCTCACTCGATCCGGAGTTTCCGACACCGCCTCTAGGGATTCCTCTAGAACTTCTATATGCTATTACCCCACCAAACTCCAGGGGGCGATACCTAGCCAATCCGTACGATTGGCGCCTGACTTGTTGCCGTCTCCTTCCAATCAGCCGAGTGCGACGCACGTCCTTGAGGAAGTGACGCACTTCGAGTCCAGTGGGGTTGGTGGGAGAGATGAGGGGATTGAGACGGTGGTAGCGGTTGTGTGAAGATGGAGGTAGGAATCCGGGCGCTAAGAAGGCTGGCGAGAGAAGCGTGGTCGACTGGGTTGAAGCAGAGGCGGGAAGCCGGGCGGAGAGGCGGCTGACGGGAGCGGAAAGCGGGGTTTGGAGAGTGTTATCAGAATGTCGGGGTCAGAATCCGTCGCTTCAAGCTAACTTCCTGCATCCCCTAACTTATCCCCGCGGATCTCTTTTGGTTTCCAGTTTCCCGGAGGAAATGACAATTACCTGACGATCACAGGGCCCTCACACCCCTTCCTGTCAGGGGCCGAGGTGAGCAAGAGCTGCTGACACTTGCCGGGGGGTAGGGGGCACACTGAGGCAGCGGAGGAGGGTAGGGTGGTGGGGAGGAGAGCGCGAAGGCCAAGGACTGGGGATTCGGAACCAGAGACTGCGATTGTGTTTTGAGGAAGTGGTAGAAGCAGTSGTAGCTGCTTTTAGAGCCTATGAGGATTCTAGGAGGGAAAGAAGACCTGCGGAAGTCCGCCTGGGAAACTGCTGGCATCAGCAAACCAGGTTATTGAAAACAGAGAACATTTAAGGAGGAGGGTAATTCTGAGTTAGAAGACTGAGGGAAATTGGGAAGAAATAACTACAGCAATCTTGAGGGATGACGAGGAATTTTTTTTTTCAGTAGCTAAAGAAATTGGGTTCAGAGAAGTAGTTTGCTTAAAAGGGATTAACCTTGAACATGTGTTCATTCTTGAACTCTGTTGAAGGGATTATATTGTTCCTCTCAGTTTTCTACTCGTCAAAGTAGTTCTTTTACTTACATGATGTAAGCTTGTTTTGCTAATGACAACAGGAAAGGAAAATAGYTGCCAATGGACATGAAAGGAGTTGAACTGAGCATGTGTTTGTTTGCAAGTGACAACTTTGGGAAGATTACTTTAACTTCATGTCACAGTTTTCCAGCTGTCAAATGGCTGTAATAATGGTTTCTTATGATGTTGTGAAGTAGAAGTAAAGGCTATGGTAAGGCTCTAAAGTGTTTCTGGAAAAGGTCTGGTTGAAATATTGTCATACTGTAATATGTGTCACTTGTTTAAGCAAAGCAGGAGTGAAACGTGAATGAGACAAAAATTTCCCAGTCTGAGAATATGCAGAATCTTGAATCTTCTACCATCTTTTGAGGATTATAATATTTTTTCAAAAGCATTGTGAACCATTTGCATTGCTCCTTTGTTTCAAGAGTTCTCAATTGATGTTAAATGGGCTTATCCTCTAATAAATTCTAATATTTTCAAAGGTGAGAATTAGATGACAATGGGTATATATTACACACACACACACACACACACACACACACACACACACACATATATTTAAGTGGAAGAAACAAGAAGTAGATTAGCCACTCCAAGAGTTAAATTTTATTTATGAAAATCAAGAAAACTATGCACTGGGTGCCGTGGTGCATGTCTGTAATCTCAGTGGCTCCGGAGACTGAGGCAGGARGTTAACAAGTTCAAAGCCAGYCTCAGCAACTGTGAGGCACTAAGCAACTTCAGTAAGACCCTGTGTCTAAATAAAATACAAAACAGGGCTGGGGGTATGGCTCAGTGGTTGAGTGCCCAAGTTCAATCCCTGATACCAAAAAAAAAGAAAAGAAACACTAGGTAAAATTAAACACAAAAATAATGATACCTGTTGTGGAGAGGATATTTTTTAGAGTGACAGAAATGTTCTGCATCTTTGATCTTTATAATAGGTATGTTTGGCTGTTTACATATGTAGAAATTCACTAAGATAAACATTTACAATTTATGTATCTTACAATAGTTATATCTCAATGAAATAAGTAATAATTTTAAAAGAGCGGGTGTTAGTGAAGAAGGTTTAGCATTTGTTACAGCATGTTTAATATACGAAAGTTTTCTGATCTGAAGGAAATTTAGTCTTTGTTTAATTAGTTTGGCTCTTAAACAATGATTTGTGCTGTGAGCACTGGGGGAGATAAGTTCTAAAGAAGCTAGCCTTTGTGGTGCACGCCTGTAAACCTAGCAACCCTGGAGGATGAGGCAGGAGGATCTCAAATTTGAGGCTAGCCTGGACAATTTTAGTGAGTCCCTGCCAAAATAAAAAGTAAAAAGGGCTTGGGGTATAGTTCAGTGGTAGAGCACCCCAGGATTCAATTCCAGTAAGGGGGAGCAGGGGGAGTCATAAAGATACCCATCCTTGGGGCTGAGGTTGTAGCTTGGTAATAGAGCACTTGCCTCGGATACGTGAGGCCCTGGGTTCCATCCTCAGCACCACATAAAAATTAGTAAATAAAGATATTGTATGCATCTACAACTAAAAAAAAATTTTTTTTTTAGAAAAAATACCCATCCTTATTAGGAAAGGAATTTATAATGTTGTGGGGCATGGTGGTACATGCCTTAATTCCAGCTGCATGGGAGGCYGAGGCAGGAATATTGCAAGTTCAAAGCCAGCCTCAACAATTTAGTAAGACTGTCTCAAAATTTAAAGGGGGGTGGGGCTGGGAGTGTGGTTTATTGGTTGAGTGCCCATGGTGTTCAATCTCTGGTACCAAAAAGGGAAAAAAGCAAAGGTGGTGGTGTGGGGAGAAGGGTTATTTATAATGTTTTAAAAAGTTAATTATTTTAGGCTGAATTGGTGAAATTTTCTCTATTGTATCAGGGTTTTCTTGTTGGTTTTTTTTTTTTTTTTTTTTTTTTTTTGGTGTGTGTGTGTGTGTGTGAGACAGGCAGGGAGAAAAACAGGGTTTTTTTTTTGGGGGGGGGGTTTGCAGGGGACCCAACCCAGTGGCTCTTTACTCCTAAACTATATCCCCAGTTCTCTTTATTTTACTTTTTTTTTTTTTTTTTTAGTTTTAGGTGGACACATTATCTTTATTTTATTTTTATGTGATGCTGAGACTTCAACCCAGTGCCTCACGCATGCTAGCCAAACACACTACCACTTGAGCAACATCCCCAGCCCCTCTTTTACTTTTTTTTAATTTTGAGACAGGGTATTGCTAAGTTGTTGGGGCTGGCCTCAAACTTTTAATCCTCCTGCCTCAGTTCCCAAGTCTGGGATTACAGGCATGTACTACCACACTGTGCTCTATCAAATTTTAAGAGAAATTTTTTTGTGGGGTGGGAGGTGCTAGGGATTGAACCAAGGGGTGCTTTACCACTGAACTACATGCCCAATCCTTTTTTTTTTTTTTTTTTAATTTTGAGATAGGATCTCGCCAAACTGTTGAGGGTGTCCCTCAATTATTGAGGCTGACCTTGAACTCGAAATCCTTCTGCATCAGTCTCCTGAGTCACCGGGAATACAGTTGTGTGCCACCAGGCCTGGCAAAAGAACAATTATTTTAATAACCTGGTGTACTAGTGTAGTATTGAATAAATAGCATTTAGATTAAAAGTTCTCTAAAGTGAATTAAAAAAAAAAAAGCTATTTAGAGAAGTAATGTCAAGGCTGAGGTTGTAGCTCAAGAGTCTTTGCCTTCCGCATGTGAGACGCTGGGTTTGATTCTCAGCACCATATAAGAATAAATAAAGGTATTGTGTTCGCCTACAACTAAAAAAAAAAAATTTAATATTTTTTTATTTCATTCATTTACTTATACATAGTGCTGAGAATTTAACCCAGTGCCTCATGCTAGGCAAATGTGTTCTATCACTGAGCCACAATCCCAGCCCTAAGGGAAAAAGAAAAAAAGTTTTTTGTTTTTTTTTTTTTTAATARTAATGCATACCTGGAGGTAAAACTCAGTCGTAGAGCTTGTGCTTTGCTTTTGGGAGGCTTCAATGTGGGAGAATTCAAAACCCCAGCCTTAAAATAAAAATAAAAAATTTTAAAAATATAATAAGGAGGAAATTTGGGGGTCTGGGGTTGTGGCTCAGCAGCAGAGTGTTTGCCTAGCATGTGTGAGGCACTGGGTTTGATTCTCAGTACCACATATAAATAAATATAATAAAGGAGGAAATGGTAAATTGTGGGTTTTGGTATGGGGTAATGTGAAAAGGAAGGGAATTAGTATTTTTCAACTTTTTGTTAATTATCTAGGCATCCTTCCTTATAATCTGTAATTCTAAAACTGACCCCTTCCCAGAAAGATACAGTAATTTAACAGATGAAAGAAAAGCTGAGTGAGAAGGTAGCTGCATCATGTTCCTATTTTCTCCTTAAGTCCCCATACAATTTATTTTCACTTTAATATTTGCTACAGTTCTAACTTGGTTTTATTATTACTAGTGAAAAGTTACAAAATARATCCATTAAAATGGATATTCGTTGTGGATTTTACCCCTAATTTTACAGATGTTACAGTAAAAGGCTTGTAAACCCTGGGCTGGGGTTGTTGCTCAGTGGTAGAGCACTTGTCTCATATGTGTGAGGCACTGGGTTCAATTCTCAGCACAATATATAAAAAATTAATAAAATAAAGGTCTATCAACAACTAAAAAAATGTAAAAAGAAAAAGGTTGTAAACCCTTATGTTTTGTATAACATAAAGTTACCCTTCTGTGTTCTTGATAATTGCTATTATCTTATTATTTATAATTAGTGGGAAAAAAAATAAAAGTAAACAACAACAAAAAGACACAATAAAAGCCAGAGATACTAAATGAAAATCTGTTTTTCATATGCCAAGGGGTGGTGCTTAGAAAGAATGCCTTGTTGATCTGAAACAATGCAGTCTTTCCATGTCTGGTGTAGTCCATGAAATCAGGCCTGATGGTTTATGAGTCCTAGTAGTCACTTATAGAACACTAGTTCCTTGTTTTGAATATAAATCTTGATTCTTTTGGAGTTTTTCATTAACAAACAGTATCATTTTTCCTATCTTGGCAGAGAAGCTTTTTTATTTGTTGTGATAAGCAGAAAAGAATAGGCATCTTTTGCTTTACCAAATAAATCTGTATCTTAACAAAATAAAAAATGAATATTCAGTTATTAATCTAGTACAGTAAATGTTTCCCTTTATTCTTTTCCCTGTCCCTCTTAAGTTTTTGGTTTGCCTGAGAATAGGATAAAAAAAAAATCTTGTTCCTTCCTGAAAAATGCTCACATGAATCTAAACTGAAATTTCAGGAAAAAAATATTTAAGAACTCTCCTGTTCTGTTTAATAACAGAAATTATGAGTTGTATACTGAGAAAAACTGAGTTCCTTGGGAAAATTTTAGTTTTTTCCATCAAGAACTGCCTGCTTAGCCTGGGGCAGTGGTGTATGCCTGTAATCCCAGYTGAGGCAGGAGGATCACTAGTTCAAGGACAGCCTCAAGAACATAATAAGACCCTGTCTCAAAATAAAGAATAAAAAGGGCTGGGAATGTAGGTCAGTAGTAAAGCACCCCTGGGTTCAATCCCCAGTACCAAAAAACAACAAACATACTTGCTCCTAAACACTGTATACTAGTCATATTATATCCCACACAAATACAAATGTTTATCAAAGTAAAATAACGAGGAGGAAATGTAGAAACAAAGCCTGAAAACAATTTTTTTGTCTTCTTAAAAACTTTTATTCTTTTTGCCAATATATCTTAGAGAGGTTGAATATTTCACAGGCATACTTTTTTTCTTACTAATTTCTACTAACTGGAAGTATTCTTCCAGCTATGTTTTTATTAAAACACAAACTGATAATAGTGAGGCCCTTTCTGTGTCTAGAGGAACCTTATGGAGTTCCTTAAAAAAATTTTATTGATAGGGCTTAGGATATATAGCTCAATGAGAGAGCACTTGCAGGCAAGTTTCTATAATTCTAGATACCTATGTTAATTGATTGGGGCAGGTGGCAAATTAACTATTAGAATATTATCATTAAAAACTGGTTGTGGGGCTGGGGATGTGGCTCAAGCGGTAGCGCGCTTGCCTGGCATGCGAGGGGCGCTGGGTTCAATCCTCAGCCCACATAAAAATAAAATAAAGATGTTGTGTCTACCAAAAACTAAAAAATAAATATTTAAAAAAAAAACTGGTTAGGGGCTGGGATTGTGGCTCAATGGTAGAACGCTTGCCTAGCAAGTGTGAGGCACTGGGTTTGATTCTCAGCACTTCATATAAATAAATATGATAAAGGCCCATTGACAACTAAAGAATATATTTTTTTTAAAAAAGGTTGGGCTGGGGCTGTAGCTCAGTGGCAGAGCACTTGCCTAGCATGTGTGAGGCATTGGGTCCGATCTCCACACCACATAAAAACATAAATAAAGGCATGCTGTCCATCTACAACTATATAAAAAGTAATTTTTAAAAATTGGTTATTGTTAAGCAATTGTATATATCTGGCAATGTGATAAGCTTTGTGCACTAAATCCCATTTTTTTCCTCAGCCATATGAGGTGATTACCATTATAATCCCTGCTTTATAGATGAGGAAAACCTGTTCAAGGTTATACAGTAAGTGGCAGAGCTGGTACTTGAACCCAGGTCTTTCTGACACTAGTCTTTTGTTGTTACTTATAATGCTCTACTGCTACATATCTTCCATTATAGTTTTTGGTGTCAAAAAAAGAATCCTGGCAGTTATATCTGAGATTAGATGTTGGTGTTAGCTTTGTGTGGGGTGGTCCTATTCARAATAGAAAGAGTGAATGAATTATTGGTCTAGTTGGTCCAAGAGGAAGGGATTGGGTCTTTAGCCAGTAGAAGTTCTTTTTTTTTTTTTTTTCCCCTTCCATCTCTTTCAGAAAGTTTTGATCAGACCAAGACTAGTCAAGAACTGCTAAAAGAACTAGTTTGCCTTTTGGCTTTGGCAGGCTCTTTCTCTTTTAGTGTTATCCATCCATATCTTGGCATTGTTGGGTTTTCCCCAAAATCCTGTATAAATAGGAATCTTATTTTTTTTAACATTATAATTTCTAGCTGAAGATGTAACTCTGGTAGAGGGCTTGCCTAGATGTGCAAGGCCCTAGGTTCAGTCCCCATGCTGAAAAGAAATTATAATTTCTAAAATGGAGGAGAGGTAGATTTTATGTGCAGCTATTTTAGAGGAGGATAAGTTTCCTATGACAGTATCAGGATTTGCATCAAAGGAACCTAAAAATAAAGATAATTGGTAAGTCAACAATAATTTCTGTGGTTTGACAGTTAAGTGTAATAATTATGAAATTATAATCTATTAAATATTTAGAGAAATTTTAAGTAACATAGTTAAACAGGTTATATATAAAGGCTGGTTCCTAATTAGGACTGAAAAAATTATTCATTAGAACAATAGACAATAATTTAGGACAACCAAGATGGTTAAGGTTAATAAGAGATAAAAGAATTAGAAATTGTGGGCTGGGGGCTAGGGATATAGCTCAGTTGGTAGAGTGCTTGTCTCTCATGCACAAGGCCCTGAGTTAAATCCCCAGCACCACCAAAAAAAAATTGAAAATTGTGATTGATGTTGGCAGGCTTGTGTGTCATATGATCAAAGCCATGAGAAAGAGGAATGGTATTTGTAAAATTAAACTAGAATAAAAATATTATCACAAGCTGAAAAGAGATACTGAAAATCTCTAGTACCTTGCTATTTTTTTTTTTTTTAACTTAGCAATTTGGAGTTTTTCCTCTTTCTACTAATTCTTTTTCCCTTTTTCCCCCTACAGACATTCCATACACCAAGCTTGGGTGATGAGGAATTTGAAATCCCACCTATCTCCTTGGATTCTGATCCCTCACTGGCTGTCTCAGATGTGGTTGGCCACTTTGATGACCTGGCAGACCCTTCCTCCTCACAGGATGGCAGTTTTTCAGCCCAGTATGGGGTCCAGACATTGGACATGCCTGTGGGCATGACCCATGGCTTGATGGAGCAGGGCGGGGGGCTCCTGAGTGGGGGCTTGACCATGGTAAGGGGCATCATTAGGCTCACTTAAATTCATGGGCATAGTGTTAGGGAAGACAAAAGTTACTCTTTATTTTCTACAATAGTTGGGTATTACTTGGTTTTTTCTTGTTGCTAAAGGTTCACCAACGAAGACTTAATATCACCTGAATAAAAGAGATTTACTATCTGGGTCAGTTTTACTTGAAAAATGATTTTAGATTATAAAATGTCTGATATCAGCCTTTAAAAATGATATGTTATGATTTTGGGGCGGGTGGGGGGAACAAAAATGATGTTTTTTTTTTTTCTCCTTTTTACTGTGGCCTTCACATCCTAGAATTAAAATGAATGGGGCTGGGGACGTGGCTCGAGTGGTAGCGCACTCGCCTGGCATGCGCGCCGCCCCGGGTTCGATCCTCRGCACCACATACCAACAAAGATGTTGTGTCTGCCGAAAACTAAAAAATAAAATATTAAAATTCTCAAAAAAAAAATGAATGGTAGTTGCCACATTGACAGATTTATTTAAAAATGACTTGAATTTAATGTAGTGTTAATTGTGGATTTTTATGTGCTGTAAGTAAAATTATTGAGTTTCCAGCACATATCCAGTAACCTGTCTACAGTTCTATATTTGTTGTCAAACAGCTCTTAATATTGGTCTTATCTACTATAATTGCCTGTGCTTTGCAGCTTTAAATGCCATTATTTTTTCTGGACTTGGTGGCACATGCCTGTAATCCCAGTGACTTGGGAGGCTGAGGCAGGAGGATCACAGGTTCCAGGCTGGCCTCAGCAACTTATTGAGACCCAAGTTAACAAGAAAGACCCTGTCTCACAAATTTTTTAAATGGCTGAGGATGTAACTATTGGTATAACAACCCTGGGTTCAATCCCCAGTACCAAAAAACAAATTTTTAAAAAAGTTTTTCTTGTTCGTATGTGTTGTCTCTGTCACCGTTTACTGAGTAAATATTTGCTTTTTAAGATAACATGTTCAAGATTAAAACTTCTCTGATTATTTTTAGTTATTTTAGAATAGGCCTTTGAATGCAAAGAAGTGGATTTGCTAATCTCTGTACATTTTTTAAATGCTTAATGTTTTTTARGTAGATAGATTATTTGATATTTTGTAGAGTTTAAATTATGATAACAGTCTGGGTAAGCAAAGTATAAGGTGTCCTGCATTCAGGGGGGAAGTGGTGCTTTTTTATATTTAGTGTTTAATTAGTCCTTTTGCTTCTCTCAGGACTTGGACCATTCTATAGGAACTCAGTATAGTGCCAACCCACCTGTTACAATTGATGTACCAATGACAGACATGACCTCTGGCTTGATGGGGCATAGCCAGTTGACCACCATTGATCAGTCAGAACTGAGTTCTCAACTGGGTTTGAGCTTAGGGGGTGGCACCATCTTGCCACCTGCCCAGTCACCTGAGGATCGTCTTTCAACCACCCCTTCACCTACAAGTTCACTTCATGAGGATGGTGTTGAGGATTTCCGGAGGGTGAGACATTCCCTGCCAAAATTAATTAACATGATGTTCTAGGACAAAACTCTTAGCATAAATTATAGTTCCTAATCAGTACTCTTTGCTCCTACCCCACCATCTCCTGTTTCCTTCTGGGTTGTGGGGTCCCGCCTCTCAACTTCCAGTCTCTCAATCTCTATTCTTATTGGTCTTCAAATATTTTACTCATAACTTTTAAACCTATTGCTTTTACTTTTAGCATAAATTTCATGCATGTGGATATTTCCCCCATATAAAAATCATTTTCTTATAGTTCTCAAAACAATAGTACTTGATCTCTTCCATCTTATAATTCTCTCTCTTTTCTCTCTTACAGCAACTTCCCAGTCAGAAGACAGTGGTAGTGGAAGCAGGGAAAAAGCAGAAGGCCCCAAAGAAGAGAAAAAAGAAAGATCCTAATGAACCTCAGAAACCAGTTTCAGCATATGCTTTATTCTTTCGTGATACACAGGCTGCCATCAAGGGACAGAATCCTAATGCCACCTTTGGAGAGGTTTCAAAAATTGTGGCTTCCATGTGGGACAGTCTTGGAGAGGAACAAAAACAGGTAAGGAAAAAAGAAATATGGATAGTGAATGCTCCAGACGTTTTTAAGATTAAAAAAAGGTTTTCTTCCAACTTTTTTTTCTTCTTTTTTTGTGGGAGAAAAAGTCTTACTAAGTTGCTGAGCCTGGCCTGTAACTTGTAATCCTTCTGTCTCAGCCTCTTGAGTCACTGGGATTATAGGCATGTCTTATATTTTCAACTTTCTTCCTTATCTGTCAGCTTTTTGTTAATGGCATTCACACATCATCCTATGAGAAGTTCCAGCTGTACACTGAATTCAGAAAAACCCCATTATATCTAAATACATTATGAATGTATTTTGTGGTGCTGAGGGTGAAACCCAGAAATTTGCACATTAAGCCACATTCTACCACTGAGCTACGTCCCTAACACATAAAGCCTATTTTAAAATTATCAACAACAGGGCTGGGGTTGTGGCTCAGTGGTAGAGAGCTTGYCTAGCATGTGTGAGGCACCGAGTTCGATTCTCAGCACCACATATAAATGAATAAAATAAAGGTCCATCAACAACTAAAAAATAAAAAATTAAAAAGAAATTCTCCGTAAAAAATTAATATAAAAATTGCATCAAAATGTYTAAAAATATACCATTAATATTTATGGCATAAATATTTGGCAGGCCATAACTTGAGCCTATTGCTTTGCCTTCATTACATGTAAATTTAGAATTATGTAACCAGTGATTTGGGTTTTATTTTTTATCTGCAGGGTTTGCCATTAATGCCCCTCTACGGAACACTCATTTGTACCTCAAAAATGCAAATTTTCTTCTCATTACTCTTAATCCCTTTTGATGTACTTAAAGGTTGATTTCCCTTTTCATCAAATGGTACTGTTTCTTAATGGGTTCTGTTTTGTTTTTTTTCCTTTTTACCAGGGATTGAACTCAGGGGCACTTGGCTACTGAGTCACATCCCCAGCCCTATTTTGTATTTTACTTAGAGACAGGGTCTCACTTAGTTGC